GTGTATATATATATATATATATACAACACTAAATAATTAATAACCTGTATTTATCGAGGCAGAGATAAGGTAGAGTCTTGGATATTCCACCAGTTCTTATTTAAATATTTTTTTTTTTAAAAAAAAATAGATTTATTTATAGCTAAGTTATAATATAGTATATAAACTTGGGCATAAGCAAGGAAGTAGAGTTGATCCTCAGTTATATTGGAATTCGGGAATTAATCCTACATTCTCCATGAACTGATGCTTCTTCCATGCCTATAAAGAAGAACCAGTTAAAAATTTCCGATTTATTTGTAAATCCTATTATTAATGTTCCCCCATTTAAAAAAAAAATATATGTAAAAATTTTTTTCCCCAAATGATAGAATGTATTTATTAATCTTAAATTATATACCGCATTCAACTACAAAACGTTTGTTTCGGTTACGTTTACTTTAAAGAGTGGTGGTATACTTAATACATCTGATGAAGTACCTTACCTATCTAAAAATATTATTTTTTACGTTAGCGACAAGCCACTCAAACTCTAACACGTCTGCCATTACAGAATTTAGTTGACTCTCTGTCTGTCTTCCATCTTCTTTATTCTGAGAATCACGAGTTCTATTGATGTCACTACCATCGAATCCTCTTACCTTGTCTCGTGTTTAAGCTTCCTTGATATCCGATAGCAACAAATGTTTATCATGTACTTTAGGTGGGAGTTGTAAATTTTCCGGTTTTTGGGAATGGATTCGTCGTAGTCACCCAGGTGTGGCAGGGTGAGTCGGTCTACCACGTCAATGTGGAATAAATTGGTAGAATTTTCGGGATCTATTTCCGAAGTTATTTCGAAGAAACCCATGCTCCATTTTTCGGTAAACGCTACGTCCGGGTACCTGACTGAATCAATATTTTTTTTAAAGGGAGGGAATCGCAAATAATTGGACGGATAATGTACATTTTGAAAAGCTAAATTTCGTTTGTCGAAGAAAGGAAATTTGTAAAGAACAATTTTAGAAAATAGGGGGATATATTAAATACTTAAATGTTGAAACAAAAAAAAAGATATCTGTGTAGGGGAGACCGGGGTAAAACGATTGGCATTTTTATATTTTTTCCCTAAAATTTTGATACCAAAAATTAGAGAGAACAAATGACAAATTTATATGTGTAGCCAAATTCTCGTCAACAAAATAAAATAAAATATATCTCTATTCATAACACTTTGGCAGCTATAATTAATTTATGTGAAGTGCGCCATTTTGCGTTATTCTACCCCATAACCAGGGGTAAAATGGCCCAGAGCTTCAGGGGTAAATTGGACTAAAATTTGAACAATATTTATTTTATCGTTTTATTGAACAAATCATTGCAATTTTGCCATCCATTCAACACTCTTAAATACAAACTAATCAATACCGTAGGAAAATCATTTGTAAATAATTTGTGTTCATATTAAAAACAATAAAATATTTTTAAAATGTAATGAATTTTTATAATTTGCAAATCTTACCTCCAAGGGTCCTTGCCATCTTACTGGATTCGTCGGTTAATAGTAAAAAAAAGTACTAATTTTTACTTAACTCTAAATAACGGCCTACAGTACAAAAGGTAGAAAGTTCCGGGGTTTTTTAAATTTTATTTTGTAGACTAATGATAAAGATACTTACTTTTATTATGTGCTAAACAAATTTAGAATGTTATTCTTTACATCCCGCTATTAAGGGGGGGGGCTATTATATCAGGTAACATCGTTCCCCTAAGCCATGGGGGGTTGTATTGTTCATAAGTATAAATGAGAATGTGTAACTACCCATTAAAATAATTACATAAAGATTCTTCAGTAGAGCATTCAGATAGACATCTAGCTAGTCATATTATTTCCCAACTTCAACCGAACTGTTATGAAGAGAAACATATGTGTCTACGGTTAAAATCGATATATTAGATTACTAGATTAAGAATACGACTACATTATAATTGTATAATGAGAGTGAGGGGTTCTATCCACTCAAGGTTGTATTCTTTGGGTTATATAAGAGTTAATCAGCTACATATACTTAGACTACTGCCGTATAGAAACAAGCAAATTGATTTAAATATTACTTTATACCTCTAACCTTCAAAGTATCAGTAACATGGTAAAAAACATATCAATCGTAATCGTCACAGGTGTTAACATGTAAAAAATTATATATATTTCAAAAATTATATATTCAACATTAGAATTTAAAATAACATATGTCATGTAATATTATAACATAATATCCAGAGTTGGCAAGTCGATCAATTGGCTCGGATTCAGTCAGTGAAGAGGAAATGTTTAAAAAAAGGGAAAACGATATAAATGCATATGATCACGCTGCTGAATATTAAGAGAAGCATCATACTAGGAGTATAAATTTAATGAGTATGTGATATAATACAAGAAATAGCTATTTTACAAGATAGTGATGACCAAATATTCAAGTGATATAATTAATTTCAGAAGTATAAAGTAGTGTTGTAAACGAACGCGTTCAAAATGAACGCGTTCGTGAACGAAGTTCGTTTTTTTGAAAAAAGGTGATGAACGGCGTTCCTTTTTTTTGACGAACTTTGAACGTGAACGCGTTCCTTTTCTTTGATGAACGCGTTCAATTTTACGTTCGTTCAATTTTAAAAACACTTTTTATTTTTATTTATTTGAAAAATTAATATTAATCCGCATTTTTTAACAAAAAAGTCTTATATTTTTATTTATTTGAAAAATTAATATTTAATCCAATTTTTTAACAAAAAAGTCTTATATTTTTTAATCAGCTGTTTTTACTTTTTCCTTTTTCATATTGCAATTAACGTGCTACTGCTAGAGAAGATAAGATTAAAGTTTATTAATTTGAATATTTTATATTTTAATTTAATAGATTAGCATTTGCATGGATATAAATATTTCATCATCAGATTCTGAAAATCAAAATTCAATATTAGATGAATTAGAATTACCATGGACCAAATATCAAAAATATTTCACTGTTTTAAAATCAATTCCGAGATATCCTTTTTTTTTGACGAGGAAGAAGAGGGCAGATTGGAGGATGATAACATAGCTCAATTTTTTGAAACAATGTATAAAACATTAAATGTTTTTAATAAATTCCCCCTTTTGAAAGAATTGTTTATCAAGTATAACACCGCAATCCCTTCATCTGCCTCTGTTGAGCGAGTTTTTAGTATAGCTAACGCTGTATTAACTGACAAGCGTTCATGCCTATCAGATGAAAATTTTGAAAAGCAATTATTATTAAAAATTAATAAGAAAAATTTTTTTATAAATTTATTTTTTTATCGCTCTATTATATTATATTGTATTTATAATTATATTATCAAAATAAAACTATTATTTTTTATCATGGCTAATATATTGTGTTAAAAAATATAAGGCATTTATTTATATTAAATCAAATTTTTAAAAAAATTTATCATGAACGCGTTCCTTTTTTTGAATTTGAACGCGTTCGATTTTTTTAAAAATGTTTACAGCACTAGTATAAAGGCATGTTTAATAGTGGATTATGTGGAAGCAGTAATTTCCATAAAAAAAAATGATTTCTGACCTAAGGTTAGTGGAATAACTTGCCAACCATGGTTAAGAGACTAACAGTTCCTAATTCGACTTTTTCTTTAGAAAGAAATAAGTCAATTAGGATTAATATTCTTATGAAAAAAGAGATCGATTGAAGATCTCGACATCAGGTAAATAGATTTAAAAGAAATATTAAAGAAAATGATGATATTGAATATGAATCAGAACAAGACTCTGCTACGGAGAGCTATCAGTTAATAATGACAATGAAATTAAAAAAAATTATTAATATTGATTCATTTTACTCTTACATTCAGTAAATTAGTACTGACTTAAAAAAACAAACAAAAATTAATAATTATTTGCATTTTGTCATATTTGACCGTTCTTGACCATATTGGACCTATCAAATATCGGTTAATTGACCGGTCAAATGCACAACTCTGGTCGTATTCCCTAAGGTCAATCAACTTGAATATTTATAGAATTAAAATGTAATTATTATAAGATAATACAATATTGGAATGGGTCAAGTCTTCTATTACTGAAAAATTAGAAACCTCTTTAGTGAAATCTACTAGTTAGACAAAGGAACGATTTAGTTTGGATTAAAAACCCAATTAATAGGGATGGTATGAAGGAAATATAGTACCAAGCTGAATTCTCTTATAACGTAGCAAAAAAAAAATAGAATAGGATAGTGCGAAACCCACCGATCAACCACTAGCAATGGAGGAACAGGTTGAAAACCGAATCAATGATAATAGAGAATACAAAATTAGGAAGATATAAAACATTAGAATAAAAGATTGAGCTAATCAAGAAGGAATTCAACTTGATATCCAAACAAGGGAACGAGACCAAGCAAAAAGGGTTAAATCAATTTAAATAGTAGTTTTTTTTTAAACATGACAATAATTACTATATGGGTTACCATAAATGGCGGGCACAGCTGATTTGCATTCAACGGCGCTTTCAAATGTGTTATTATGAATGCACGTCAGTCTAGGTTTTATTATATGTCATTGGAATTAACCCAGTCATTCCAACGTTATGACTCAAATTTCCTTAGGATATTTTTGCCCTAATTAATAGCTTTAATATTAATTTTTTTTTCTTTCCAGTAGTTCAAGAGTTATAAAGGTAGGCGGGCGAGTAAAATTTTTTTTAAAAGAAACTATATATAAGAAGGGTAAGTTAGGGTTAAAAACTGGCTCATTACAGGTCTCAACTGTAGAGTTGAAGCGATTTAGTCGATTACCCAGCTATACGTTCTGGTGACCCTCCCCCCTTATACAATTCAAAAACGGTATCGGGTTGCGGGAATAAATATAATCCTATAAAAATAGGTGTCCGAAGCGAATATGCTCATCGTTATGAACTACGCGTAAATTAGTTGTGTTTTATTAAGTCATATAAAAAATAATAGATTTTTTAAATAAATGTTTTTATATTTTATACTAATAATAAATTAACTTTTTATATTATGCAAAATAAAGAAATATATAATTTAAAAAAAAAACAATACTTTATTTACAAACATTTTTTCAAAATAAATAGTAAAACAAATAATCATTCTGTGTGTATAAAGGTTTGCGTTCATTGTGGCGGAGTGTTGGAAGGTTTAGATTCGACGGATGGCGTCGACGTTGACTGCAAAACGGTGTTGGGTAATTGCGGCAAATTATTGGACGAAGTTCTGCTGAATTTGAGGGTGGGCGGTAAGATGTTAATATTACTGGCGATCGTTTTCCTAGAGGATCGATTAAAAGTTTTTTTTAAATAAAAAAAAATTTAAATTTAACTTAGTGATTTATAGATTTTTTTTAAATATCGAATTGGCCCGATTCAATCGTATTTTCGAGAAAATCGAATCGGTTATTATCCGATACCAAATACCTATCTTTAAGACCCCTATCAAACTCCGATATTCAAAAAGTCGAATCGGTCTCGAAAGCGATATCGGTGTACTCCCACAAATTTCTACAAAAATGAAAAAAATTAAATCAAATCTCGATAGAATCAGAATTTTAACCCTTAGGGTTAGGTTTCCAGGAGGTATTAGTTGATTAAACTAAAAAGTAGTATGAGCTCCTTTAGAGCCAAGCTCAAATCTGGATGAAACAGCGCAATTTATGAATGAGCACCAATCCAGAGTATAAGCTAGTTTTATGAAACGGCTCATTTTGAGCCGATTTTTAAAAACAGCTGACTCAATATTTTATCCAGAATAATATTATGCAAGCCTGAAGATCTTGTTGGTAGAAGGAACAAAGGTTTGGACATCTATTAAGAAAATCTTGAGGCTTAGGCAATAATTTTCTGGCTAAAATATTGAGTTGCCGTTTAGTAGAACTTTAATAATTATTGTTTTTTTTGAAAACGGTATCAGATCTTTAATCATTTTTTGGTAATAAAAAGAAAGAAAGAAGGAAGGAAAAAAAAGAAGGTAGGAAAGAAAGATCGATGTAAAACATAAAATAAAAATCATTTTATTAAATGTAAAAAAAAAAAAAAAACGGGGGAAATATAAGCAAGCCGAAAAATGATGGCGATTATAAGAATTTACGAGAAAATATTGTTAAATTATATTTTGAAGGATGATTAATGATATAGAGTTAAAAAAAATGTGAAAAACGTCTCCCGACTTTTTAGCGCAGGAGACATGAAAGTTTTAAAGGTTGTGACTGCTACTAGTGCCCGTTATATTCATTGAAAAAAAAAACTAAATATAACACCCATATTTTTTAAAATATTTTTGGCCCACGATATTTAAAATCATCCATTTTATTCTTATTTTTACGGTTTATTAAATAATACATTTTTGTTTAATAAATCATTTATCATAAACAGATTCTTAAAAATAAATGCTATAATAATTATATATATATATTAAATTCGAATAATTATAATGTTATCACTGGTTAGAACAAAATATTTTTTCGATTCCATATCTCTGCTCTAATTTACAATTTTTTTTAAAAATAAAATCATCTAATAATTAAATATGACATGTAGATATTATATATGCTATTCTAAATAATATAATTTTAATTTGAACTTGGTCCAAACGTTATCTTGTATTATAAGTTAATTACCATTTGTCAACAACTAACCAAGCAGCAACATTGTTTTTATTTATCATATTACAGATACTTAAAGTAACACGCTTATATTTTGTTATATATTACATTTTAAATAATAGATATTCTTCTCTGGGGAATGTCTCATAAATTAATCCAGCACTCAGCATTATTCTTCTGTTTTAGCATTTAAATGTTACTTTGAGTGTGCAGATTTATATTTTTATAAAATTATTAAATTTAAATAATAGGTATTCACTGGTCAGAGCAAAATATTTTTTGAATTCCACTTTCTCTGCCGCCATAAATTTTCTGCTATGGAAGGTACACAAAAATCAGAAAGTATAAAGGTTAAACAATTTTTTTTAAATCTAAATAATTGAATATAACATGCAAATATTATATACTATTCTAAATATATTTTTAAAATGTTAACAATCTTATAAGCTAATTTCTGGTTTAGTTAATAGATCGAGTGATATAATATTACACAAATATCTTATATCATGACCTCCATATCTTTATCCTTGAAGATTTAAACAAAAACTTTAGATATTTTTTTTTAAAGTTGCGTTCATATGACACTTATATACTTGCCTTGGAACATAATAAATGAATAGAAATAAATATTTGGGTTAACATGAAAATCTATTTAGAGTTAGATAAGACAAGAAACCAATTTTTAAGAAACATTAATTCTATATTAAGTTTATGCAAAAGAACAATATTGTTAAACCTTTGTAACATTATTGTATAAAGTCTGTTTGACACACCAATTATGTGGTTATAAAGATGTTTTTTTAAAATTTTTAAGAGTCCTGAAAATATTATTTAAATTCTAGTCTTATTTTCTTAGGGGGTATACCACTGCCTAGTTCTCATATAAAGTGTGGGTTAATTTAAGTATTCAAATATGCATAGATGCTACATTTTCTTCACACGCTTCACTTTCTAGCAGACAATCGAAGAATTTGAGAATTCAAATCTTGTAAATATCTATGTAGCAAGGTCCCCCCATATCTCCTAGAAGTCATAAATCTTCTTAAATATCGAAAAAAATTTATTATTCCCGCAAATATGGCGGCTCAATACAGAAAAAAACCGGTTCAAGGGTAGAAAAAGAAATTCTTCAACATTTCGTAAGAGAGTGTTCATTTAAATTTGCAATCGTGCTATAAAACATAAGGATACCAGACATTAACTTGGAAGATTGTGACCATGGGTTGATGAGCACTCGAATCATGATTCAAGTAATAATTATGCATTTATAACAAATTCATTATAAATCATATAAATTAGATAAAAGGTAACTTTTCCAATCTTTACCTAAACAAAGAATGCTTTAATTTTTGGATGTGAAAGGAAATCAATCGAAAATTCTTTAAAATTAAGGGGGAACAAAGCTCAAAATTCAGGGAATCACTTTTGAGAAAAAAAGTGGAAAAATATGACACTCCAAGATATTCGTAATGTCCAAACAAATATTAATAAAAAAAGCAAGTCTAATGATTTAGCGAACATTTTTGAGCTGTTTAAAAGGAAATATAAAGGAGTCAATGCTGAGGTTGCCTTTCTTCGTTGTTTCTCTTCTATACCCATCACATTACTAAATTGCCTTTTCAAGAACCTACGACCGTTGATAAAATCTGAAAAAAAAGATCGTTTTCAATGGTGAAATATATATATTTATTATTTTTAGAATTAAAAGATTCCAGGTCGATTATTTGTTAGATTTGAGAAGATGGGGTTGAATCATTTCTACAGTATGCGACCAATTCTTTCCATATTTTGGAGGCCAATTTATATTAAAATATAATGAAAACTAGCGGCAAATCTAATTCAATAAGTTTTGAATAAAGATCATTAATAAATATATTCTGTCTTCTTATAACACCATTTTTTATCCCATTATATCCAATATTTAAGCCTCAAATGATTTTAATATTTCTTTAATTTAACTATAATTTTGTCTTTTAAATATTATCAGAGCACGAAAAATACGGATATGGATGCTCACAGCTGAGAAACTATAATGGAAGGCATTTATAATCCCTTAGCGATACATCATTTCCCTCATTGAATTAGATTTGCCACTAGATTTCATTACATTTTAATATAAAATTGGGGAAATGAATCACCTCATCTTCTCAATCTAACAATTAATCGACTTAGAATCATTAAATCAAAAAATAGTAAAAAAAAGAGTTGCTAATTTATAATTTCACCATTGAAATCCATCCTTTTTTTTCAAATTTCATCAACGGTGGTTGGTTCTCAGGCCTTTGAAAGGCAATTTAGAAATATAATGAGTAGTATAGATAGAGACAATAAAGAAAACCCATAGGAATATATCATTTTCCTTAATAACCTCGAACATGGCTCCTTTATTTCCCTTTTTAACAGCTCAATGGTGCTCGCTAAATCATTAGACTTGGTTTTTTTATTAATATTGGTTTGGACATTCCGAATATCTGTAAGTGCCACATTTTTTCCCTTTTTTTTCTAAAGTGATTCCTGAATTTTGAGCTCAATTCTCAAAACAAAAGCATTCTTTGTTTAGGTAAAGATTGGAAAAGTTACTTTTTATCTAATTTATATGATTTATAATTACTTAAATAGTGATATGATTGCTCATCAACCCATGGTCACAATCTCCAAGTTTAATATCTGGTGTCCTTATGTTTTGTAGCACAAATGCAAATTTGAATGAACACTTTCTTACGAAATGTCGAAGAATTTCTTTATCACCCTTGGACCGGGTTTTTTTTAGTATTGAGCCACCATATTTGCGGGAATGATAAACTTTTTTTTTTATATTTAAGAAGATTTATGACTTCTAGGGGAATATGGGGACCTTGCTACAAAGATATTTAAAAGATTTGAATTCTCAAATTCATCAATCGAACTCCTAGAAAGTGAAGCGTATGAAGAAAAAATATCGCTCCGAGATGTAGCATCTATAAATAGGTTAATTAAACGATACTTTATTGTATTATGTCATATATCATCACGGGCAGAAAGGTTTGGTTGGACATCTATTAGCTACTTGAGGTTTATATTTAATAACAAATTGGCTAAAATCTTATACGGGCCCCGACCCGAATAGGGCTTTTTAACGACACTAGAGAGCTACCACCCGATCCCGATTTTCGAATATAGTGGCGCTCCAGATGGTTTTGGCGTGGCGCAGAATGTAAGAGCCCCGTCTTTAACAACTCCGCAAAAATGACGCGTTTTTCTATTAAAACCGGAGATCCGCTAGGCCTTGGCCCGTGGGTCATATTAAAAAAAGTTTGGGTGGGTCAGCTCGAGCAAAAATATTTTTCGCCGCACCTCCCTCCTCAATTAATCACGTGCCCAAAAAAATTCTTAAATTCGAGTGATGGATTTTTTTGTGAAAGCAAAGCAAAAAGAGAAGAAAAAAAATAAGGAAAGTTGTTTATTTTAGTGATAAAGCTAGTTAACTCGTTATATGACGTCGACGAGGTTAATATAGTTGTTTGATTTGAAGTAGTAGAGGGGTTAGTATCGTCTAGGTTAGTATTTATAGTGGGAGGGGTAGGAACTAAAATGGGCGCGTTAGTAACTTTTAGAACTTCTTTGATATCAGCATGAAAAGATGGCGGCGATTCGGTTTTAGCTATATTTTCGGCAGCTTTATTACTTTCCTGAACTTTTTTCTTGAGAGTTTGAACTATGGGGTGAATATCTATAATAATAATAAAAATTAAACATAACATAAAAAATCTTTTTGGGGCAGCCTTGTCATAATTGACATTTTCTTTAATGTTAATGTTAACTACCAGTTGAAAAAACATCAATAAAATAATCTGTTGCCATGTTTTCGCTTAATTACATATCTAGATATCATTATCAATCTATCTTTAGATTATAGGACATATGATTTGGGGTTTATTAGGAATTATAACTCAATTTGCGTTAAAATTAAACAGATGATTATTATATGAATGAATGAAAAAAGGGGTGAATAGAAGAGACTGACATTTACGCTACACTCGGTGAAGCGTATAGCTTGGTACTATAAATATAGCACAACTTTAAAGAAGGCGGAAATAAATTGACTTGCGCCTCAATGCTTAGAGGAATTTTTCCCTCTTGCGCATAATGAGGCCAAATTAGTCGATTTTTCTCGCCATTAGCCAATCATAGCGAGAGGAGCTCTTACAAATCATGCCTTGTATGATAGCAAGATTTGTTTTGGCTACGTCATTTCCTGCCCTTCATGCTTTTCTAGTATTCGCCAAATATTCTGCTTAGATCTACAATTATAAGCCTTCTCACTGGGCATCGAGGATATAAAAAAATCTCCAGAACTGAGTGAATGCTTGGATCCCAAATGTATACGAAATCGAATAACAAATATTATTAGTTCTGGCCTTGACATTTCTTGCCGGCTTCAATAAGGGGTTCAGGTTCGAATTTTTCTTTATTTATCAGGTTCAGTTTAAGCGCCACACCCGTGCCGGGCTCCAGCTGTTTTAAACCTAGATATTTTCGGGTCCGTCCAGATTCGGAAAAGAGTCCCGAATCTGTTTTTATTGTAAACCTAGAATAGGCGGAATAGAAGTGGTAATCGAGCTTTTCCTCGAGTCATCTCCAGCACTGTCACCTTTAGAGTCGACGGAGCGAATTTCGCTTTGTTTGATATCGCGTGCAGTTGAGTTGTTCGACAAATCCATCTTGACAATTATTGTTTTTTAAATTAAATCACCATATTTATACCTTTTTTCTTCCCATTCCGTTAGAAGAAAAAAAATAGATTAAAAATTTTCTAATCCGCCAACCCTCTTTTCTACGTGTCCGTTGAGACGTTGGACAGAAATGACGGGGAAAAAACGCGTATTAATTATTATTAATTGGCAATTCTATTACGAGTATTTAATAGAATTGCTGATTTATAAATAACTAGAATAATAAACAAAAAATATATTATTTTTTTTGAGCAGAGTTTCATACGCTCTTTAAAGATTGATCTCTGAAGGATTTTTTTGGTCAAATTTTTATCTAAAATTCGGAAAATAAGTAAATATTTTGTGATTTTTAGGTGTTCGTGATGAAGGCAAGGCGCAAACTTTTTTGAATAAAAGATTGATATTCTTACAAAAAAAAACTTCAATTTTGTGATCTTCGAAGATTCTTCTCAAACACTAGTTTTGGGAACTGGAACTCACTTTTTTATATAAAAAATTAGGTTTTGACAACAGAATCTCGAGGTTGGCGTAATATTATCTTTAGTTAAAAAATGTTAAAATTTGAAATCGGGAAAAAATCGGGCGGTTCAACAATACTAGATTCCCGCCATTTTCTTGTAGAAGCGAAAAAAAAGAAAAACTCTTTAGTCATTATTACGTGATCTGCTGAAGTGTTGGAGGCCATATGGACAGATTCCTCAGGATCCTCAATTTCTGGAGCCGTGGGAAGGTATAGCAAGGCCTCTTGGTTCGTTTTCAACACGTCCAATTCTTCCTCGTCGCTAATTTTTTTTTTGTCAATATATAAACAAAAAAAAAATTCAGTTAGTAGATAGAGAGAAATATCCATAAGGCGTTATAATAACTTTTTAAATCCTATTTTTGGGGTGGTCCATACCGCCCCTGTATAGTATAACTCCCCTCCCGCCCACCTGCGGTACTTTTTTTTTATAATGAATATAATAATCATATTGTTGGTGATGGGAGCTCATTTTTTGTTAAGTTAGTATCTATTGTTTTTAACATATTTATATATGTATAAAGTAAGGGCATATCATATAGCCAGTATAATTATCTGAGGGATCAATGCGTTGTTATGAAGGAGAAATCGGAAGGTATGTAGGATAATTTTGTTAGAGCATTTACCTAGTTAATGGAGATGTTAACGGAAATGGTGTGCGTGTGCGGGCAAAAGATGCATAAATAATGTGTATGCCAGATTGTTGAAGACCAATATATTAATTTATACCCAATATATAGGAAATGTATATATCTATGTAATAAAAAAAAATAATCCTTTTGTTAGAATTATATGCAAGTGATTTATATGTATATATATTTATTCTAATATTTATAGCAATCTTTTTTGAATGTACAATCGTTAACTGATCTTTTTTGTTGTAAATTTATATTGTATTTATTGCATTTGTTAAGCATCTTTTTGATGAAATGATATGTGTAATTTTATGTTGAAATATGAATCTTATTCTTCTTCTCCGTTTAATGGCGATACCCAGGTTCACTCAAGTTGGCCAGTTTTCCTAATCATCAGGAAATTTTGTAGCAAGGTTTTTACAAACGGATGCCTTTCCTGACATCTACCCCGTTTAGGTAGTTTTTACACCCCGTCCATACCACGGGGAATCTTTTAGACCTCCATTACCCGCCAAAAGACGTTGCCACTCCCCCGCCATGATGAAATTGAAGGTAAGATGCGCCATCTACTTAGTGCACGAAGATTTTGATCAAACTTGTTTTTTTTTATATTAAGCTTTAACGTTTTAGACGTTAAAGCATTTTAGATATAAAAAAATTTGAGTGACGAAAATAAAACTTAAATGTTTAATATTACAAAATAATAGACATTATAATTAGCTGTCAGTTATAACTGTCAATATTACTAAATATTAGAAGCTTTTAATATCACATAGTCGTGAGTGTCGATATTACTAAATAATTAAAATTAATAACTTTACCTCTCAGTCATAAATGACAATAATACTAAATAGAAATTTTGAACATTACACGTCAGTCAAAAATGTCAGTATTACTAAATAATGGATACTTTTAAGATTGCAGGTCGGTCATAAATGCCAGTATTGCAAAATGTTATTTATGCCAGTATGTTAGAATATATTGTAAAACGTCGATCATAAATGTCAGTATTACTAAAAAGGGTATCCACCAATTAAGACCACAAACTTTTCAAAAGTTGATATAGTGGCTAGTTTTTGGGCCGATCTCTAAATCATATGCTAACCCTAACCGAAGAGGTTGGCTTCCGAAAAATGTAAAATCCTGCAGAGGATAGAATAAAAAAGGAAGTAAAAAAAAAATTATATTGGCTCAAATAGCTACCCTACTTATATCCAAAATTTATATCAAAAAAACCTGCTCAGGTATATGGGAAGGGGTTCCACTGTCGTGACATCTACGAATCTTTCCTCGTTCTCAAGATCGTCATCTTCACTTTCCTCTTCCGCAAATCCATTTTCGACTTGATCGGAATTTACCGCCTTCACTAAGTCCCTATTATTTTTAGAGAAGTAAATAACGATTACAAATGGGGATGGAGTGGGGTGGGGCATTTGAATATAATTATTTTTGTTATCAAGGGTAGGAGGCCGCTATATTAAATAGAAATTTGGAATGTCACATCTCCGATCCGTCGAGTGTCAATTCATTTAGATTTATATTCTACCCAATGTGCTGGTGCCTTGAAATCAGCCGCAGTCAATGTCATTTGGTTGGATACCATCGATCATGTAAAAAAATATTTCGTTTAAAAAAGCTTTTCGTCTTAAATGCGTTTCAATTGGCAAACTTTAAATGTATGTACATTTTTTTTCAGCGCATTTTAACGAATGCATCCACCTAGCTACATTTTATCACATGATACTTTATAACGACACTTTATCATGATATATTTCACATATTTTAAAAATTAAATTTTTATAATATCCGATTTTTTGTAGTAAGTAACTGAATCAAAATATCCACGATTAAAATTATATAAATTATTTTATAAAATATTTAATTGCACAAAATACGGGCAATGATAGCTTTTTAAAAAATGTTATAGAATGCGATACAGAAATCGTTTTTTTTATATCTTCATTATTTCTTCGAGAAGATACGGTGTTGTCCCTGTCCTAGTTTGTAACTTATTAATTATTATTAATGATTGACATTTTGATATTTATCATTTTTTTTCGTAAAATGATGATTATACGATCATTAATTTTTTTACGATCAAATTGAAATAAAGATTTGATAAAATGATTTTGAATTTGTTAAAAATTAATAAGAATATTTAGTATAAGGCTTGACTGATTTGAATATTTAGCTTAAAGGGTTTAAGTTTAAATTTTTTACTTACCATTAATTAAATAACTTTTCGATAGTCCCCATTACGACTTGAAGATATAGGGCCTTATGTTTTTGTGTATATCTTTTTTTGAATGCCATCTAAAAAAAAATTCAAAGCGTTGAGTTGAATCCCATAATGCCACACCCTTCGCAACACAACTTGTTATTGGGGCTACACCTTCTAACCTCCAATTGTGTTTGTTTCCATAATCTTACATTATAGAAAGGAGCCGCAAAAATCTGTGATTTCTACGTTCCATAATCTTACATTATAGAAAGGAGCCGCAAAAATCTGTGATTTCTACGTTCCATAATCTTACATTATAGAAAGGAGCCGCAAAAATCTGTGATTTCTACGTGCTCGTATAGTTCTTCTCAAAGTAGGAAATGAGCTCAGATGATTAGGAGCTCCTAAACAATTATTACTAAGGGTGGCACATCCGAGGAAAATACTGGTGGATTTCGAGCAGGCACTGATAAATGCGTTTAGGCTGGGTTATCCACTGGCGGATACCATTGAATGTTATTTTCATATAAAACGGAGCGTTATTAGAAAAATAAAACGATTTGGGGTTTAAAAGAAAGGTACGACTAATGATTTTCGATTGTATAACAGGGGTTTATGGGCTCATGCATATTTCCCAGGGGGATGATGCTGGAAATTCATTAGATACCTTGGCAGAAATATTTAGAGAATTGATGAGCTCATCCCTATACCAACGTTCTCACCCAACCTTTGGAATATTTTTTAGAATGGGATTCAAAAAGATTATGCGAAAACATAAGGCCCTGTCCTATATCTTCAAATCATGATTGGGACAACACAGTACCCTCTCAAAGAAATAATGAAGATATTAAAAAAACGATTTCAGATATGTGTTTCGAATTATGGACTAACAGATTCTTTAACATTTTTTAAAAGCTATTATGGCCCATATTTCATGTAATATTTTATATAATTTTCCTCGTGGATATATTGACTTACAGTTATTTACTAATAAAAAGTATAAATTGAAATTCTTATTGCTCATTCCTGTTTTCCTAGATAACACGATAATTAAGTTTTTTTTTTAAAAAAAATTATATTTAATGAAAATTAAATTATTAGTATTTTTTCAATAAAAATCAGAAACCTGTAGAAGGTACCATTTACGCGGCTCAGCCCGGATTTTTTATCGGCCCGGTCCGGGTTTATATTTTCAGGTCCGGCCCGGAATTATTTAAATATATTATATTTATTATTGATTCTTTGTAGCTAACAGAGTTGTTAAAAGATACTTTTAAAATGGATCTAGATACAGATACATCGTCTAAAATAATATCTAGATACAGATATTTTAAACAAAAATCTATCTAGATACAGATACCACATTTTTATATCTAGATCCTTTAACAACTCTGGTAGCTAATAATGGCGATTTGAATTATTTGTATAAAATTAAAAACCAGGGCCGTGTACCCGGGTCAAAAATACAAAAAAAAAAGTTAATTTAAATTTTTTTAAATATCGAAATTTGAAATGAAAAGTCAAATGAGTTATTAATCAAAATTTAACTAAATAAAATTTTAAATATGTGTCCATGAAAGTGTGGCGTGTTCAACTGCCGTGTGATAAACTGTCACGTGATAAATGTCGCTAGGCGACATATCAGATATAGAGGGGAGAGAAGAAGGTGAGGAGGTGGGAGGGGGCTAAGAAGTTTTTTGGACATTTTAATAATAAATCAAAAAAAGGATGCAGACCCCCCTCACCTTATATCAAAATTATTATTTTTTTAGATCAATCGTATTTTATCAAAATAAAGTAAAATAAATAAAAAAAGGGACAAATTTCTGATGCACCCATCAATCAAACAAAAAAGAGAAATTATATAATTCACCCAATCATTCTTGACGGGCGATCTGTTAGCGTGTTAATATAATGAATGGTCAAGAAAGGATTAAAAAATAATATTCCATGTTAATCGTAATAATTTGAGAAGGATAAAATGGCTAAATTATATCTACATTTTAATAAGGGTAGAGGCCCTGATATTTTGTGCTTGATTTTGACCTAAACCAGGCATTTAGCCTATAAAAGCAATAGTATAGACCTAGGATTATAATATAAACGATTTGGTAATCGTAACCTTAAAATATGATAGTATTTTATAAAGATTTAGAGGAAAATCAGCTGTTTTTTGATAGTAGTAAGTCAGTAACCATCTTAGATATAACATTTTACCCAGTCGCGTTAAATGTTAATAGTCAATCATGTTTCCTTAAAATAAATATGAATATAACTAGTGTTGTTTAAACGGTTAACTAAAATAATTTTAGCCAGAAAAATATTGCCCAAGTTCTCTAGATTTAGCTAAACAAATGTCTAAACATCTGTGCCATCTATGAACCAAAATATTCAGACTTTTTAATACCATTCTGGATAAAATATTGATGTTAGCCGTTTTTGAAAATCGGTAAAATCTAGCCATTTAAACAAACACTAAATATAACCCCTTAGCCATTTCATATGGATCAAAGTTAACTGAACCCCAATTTAACGGGCAAGGTGTCAATTCTTGATATTTTAGTACAAACTCACAATTTATTCCCTTGGTTAATCTCCATTGATCATTAAAAAAAATTATATATATATACATATACATACCCATTTGTTCCACCAACGATAGATTTAGCTTTGAAAATTTCGACCTTTTGTCTTTTCCTTTTGAAACGCTCTTTATCCGCCCTTCGAGTGGATAAAAACAATAATTTGATTTAATCGAGAATCCCAACGGTAACGAATACCGGTTCGGTTCGGGTAAAAATAACGGTTCAGATTAAGCTTCGGTTTTTAAATAACAATATAATCGGGTTTGAACCTATTCGCATAGGTTTATCAGAATTATGTTTAAATGGAGCTGTGAACCATTAAAACCAAATTATACCAATTTGTAAGAAAGAACGAGTATTTTGGCAGAGAATAATTAAATTGGATAGCTCGTATAGTCGAATAAAGATATATATATAAGTTACGGATACCTGTCGATCATAATCGATTATTAATAATCTTTAAAAAGAAGTTCAGATATCGCAAGGTTCAACCCAATTCACCTACCTTTTTAGAGGTTCGGTTTAGGTTTCTTTTTAAATCTCTTGATTTGATCATATAAATTCGAGGTTTTAAAAAATCCATGTTACATCTAATCACCCCCCCCCCAACCCTTAATAATATCAGCTTCCATTTACTAATTACTTTTTTTTCTAAGATGTCCACCAGTAAAAGCTCAAACCAAAATTCCTTTTGATTCAGAGTAAATCTTAAATTCAAGAATCCTGAAGGCCTGAGTTTGCTGATTCTAAACCCCTTCAATACCGTTTAATATAATTTCATTCTCGTTCCACGAAAAAAATAAAAATAAATATATTTAACCAACTTGGTATCAACCGAATCCTGATCGGAGAGGTCGAATTCGCTTTCCCTTTCTAGGTATTCCACGTTATCGTCCAATTCCCTAAAATCGGGCGCAAACGCGGACCAGTTTTCGATTCTCGGGTGCGACCAGAGGGCAACGCTACCCGCCCCACCGCCGCTCACGCTCGCGATGACGCCCCTATTTGGATGCCACTATTAATTATAGAAGAAAAAAAAATTTGTCATCGTGTATACATACATATATCGAGTCATTGCAAACGAGTTATAGAATCTATTTCGAGAATCAGAGTGGGAGCCATTTTTTCAAAAAAATTTATTCAAAACCGGAAATACCCCCGTTCCAATGTGATTTTTCTTTTTCTTCTGGGATCCAAAATATGATTAAAAAAAATTACGGCTAAATCCAACAAGATTTCCCCTTTGGTACCGTGCAGTATTTTGACGAGGTTAGAAGTAGACAGTTCCCAAATGTATATGGAATGTTGCTTGGCCGAACCCGCACAAACGTACCTGCTGCTGGATGAATTGTGCATACTTTATTTTTAAAAAATTGTTTATGTGGTAGGGGAATAAGATTTTAATTTTGAAAAAAATTAAATCTACTCACTTTTTGCTATCGCTGGCACCATTATTATGATTATTTCCGCCATTATTGTGCGCGGCGGAAGAATTTTCGCCCAACTCTGGCAGCGAACTCCGCCCGCCCGAAAAACAGCAGCTCTTCCACTGGGTCCTGTTGACTAAATCGCAGAGCTTCTGGATAGGTTCCAGCTCGACAGTGCTATTCGCGTTGGTCAGGAATCCCGAATTCTCCTTAGCTTCCTTGCTGTTGTTATTATTATCCTTATTATCCCTATTCTCGTGTTCGTTCTGGGTTTTGTCGTTTTTATGATTATTGTGGTGAGGAGCAGCCGTGCCCTTTTGCCGCGCCGTTCCGCAATCCAAAGCTATATCAGCGTTGTATATGCGTATAACGCGGTCGGCGGTACACACCAAAAAGTTTCTTGTATTATATAATATATATATATTATTTTCTTAAATCATACATTATTTCAAATCCTAATTGGCATGATCTTCCGCCATTTTAGTAAGTATATATATGTGGGATCTAATGGCATATAATAATACGGCTGACGATGTATTCATAATAATGCAAATCAGCTGGAACCGCCATTTTGGTAACCCATATAGTAATTATTTTTATGTTAAAATACTACTATTAAATTGATAACTTGCTTCCTTATTATCTCGATGATCGGGCAATTCTTCAATAAAGTTTGCTTCAGACATAGTAAATAAATTTACCTCTCGGTTAAGATTTTTAGTAATGATATGGGTAACCAAAACTAATGCATGCATCGCCATTCCTAGGTATTATTATGTTATTGATAGGGATCGGCCAATTAAAAAAATATCGGATGATAATCAATCAGTATTGTCTCATCATTTGAGCCGATTTTTTAAGAAGGGCTAAACTCAGTTATTTTATCCAGAAAAAATATTACGCAAGCCCCGAAGATCTTGCTCATAAACACGATGCCACAAAGGTTTGGACATTCGATTGGCCGAATAATCTCGATGCTCGGACGATATTTTTCCCGGCTAAAAAATAACCGAGTCTGCCATTTTTAAAACCCGGCTCGAATGGAGATGATCTTTGCATCCCCGCTTCCCGCCGATTCCATATTGAAAACTTCGATAATAATATATTTTAAAAAAAACAAATTTTTCAAAATTGTTCAAAAAAAAAATAGCGATGCCCAAATCAAGAAAATATATCGAAAAGCCTTGGGAAATATCCTTTTTAAAAGGGATAAAAAAGAAATTTTCGAAGTAGAATCATTGCAAAATGAAACCCATTAGATATATATATCAGAGTTGTTAAAGGATCTAGATACAAGTATCTAGATATAAAAATGTCGTATCTGTATCTAGATAGATTTTTTATTAAAATATCTGTACCTAGAATATTATTTTAGAAGATGTATCTGCATATAGATCCATTTAAAAAGTATCTTCTAACAACTCTGATATATATATGTTAGTTCTCGTGAATGTGTTTTTTTCCGGAAATGTGTTATTTATTCAACTTAAAATCATTTTTTTTTGAGCGCGTCTACAAAAAAATTGTAAAAATCCGATTTTACCTGAAATGTAAAGCCGTCATGTTTGGAATATCTTACCCTTGTGAATATCAGACAATTTTTCCACGAACTCTTAAAAGAAATTTAATAAAATTTATATTTAATTTCTCCATTCGGTAAAATTATCTACAATTCATAAGATACGTATTCTAAACATGCTGGAATAGATTTTTAAATTTTTTTTAAAAAAACCCTGCTTAAAATACGATTTAAAGTTTAAAAAAAAATTTAACACATAAACGTTAACGTATATATATTTATATATTAAAAATTGGCATCTTAAATTTTATCATCAATCCTTTCATTGCATAGGAAATATGCCATCAAAAAAATGCTTGCTGTTTTTGTAAAGACCTATAATTTAAAAAAAAAAAAATTTGAAATGATAAGAAACTCATTTTAATTGATAATAATTACATAAGATTAGGACATTATTATTAGTTATAGTTACCTAAATAAAGAAATAAATGATCTTTTAACCCTTCGTTGAGCAGGTGAAAAGGAAATACCCCGAGAAACTAGATGGGTAAAAGTAGAGAAAAGTTTATTGTAGTTTATCTGATAAACAAATTTTATATAAATATAGGATTCCATGCGTGATAAGGGTGTCACGTTATCGGTGACATCAAATCTATGTCCAAACTCATTTCTCCGAATCGAATAAATATTTTAAAAAGCCTCACTCTCCCCTTTTGGCAAATTCGATGGCCTTAATGGCGTTTCCGGAAGTGGTAATTCCCCCGGAACTTGTTTTGAAACACGCGACCAATCGGAGAGTTTTCTCTTCCGAATCGTCGTCATCTGGGCAAGGATCCCTCTTGCTAATCGGGTCAGCGTTCGCGCTATTCTTCCCGTTCTTAGGATTCGAGTCTTTGACGGCCTTTGAGTCGAATATCAGAACCTAAAAGCAAAATATTTATTAAAATTTGGGCGCATGCGTATATATATATAATGTTAACAAATCTTAATTCGTGGAAATTTTAAATTCCTTCAAAACTTTACCAAAAAAAAACACAAATCCAAAACATATATTGTTGTTTTAAAACAAAATTAAAGTTTTGGAATAAATTCTGGACACAGACCCAATTCAATTAAAGTAAAACGAAATAATAATAAAAATTTACCAGCAATAGTATAGACTGTTAGAGTACCTATTTCATGAATTTCAGGCAATTTTAGCCGAACACAGTTAAGGATAAAAAACTGAGGGAAGGAATAAAACCACGGAAAAAGTTAGGAATAAAAACTGCAGAAAAAAAAATATCGTTAAAAATTATATTGGCATTCGAGAGTAAAAAATCTATTTGTAATCGTTTTCAATTTTCACTAATATACAATTCATATTTTGATATCAGATTTTACAAAGATTCTTCAAGTCTAATTGACTTATTTTTTTATACCGCTACTAAAATTGTTTAACATTTCATTTCATATCATAAAGTATATCATATTTCGAACTTAAAGTGTAGTGATTGATTCGTTAATATTATGGCAAATATGATATTCTCATTTTTGTAAATATTTTTAAAATTATTAAAAAATGGAACGGAAATCTATGCATCGCCAATACATTTAAGGGAAAAAAAATGTATCTTATACAATAAATTTAGATAGATGTCATTCTCATTTTTAATTACTTTAATCACTGAACCAAGGATATATTTAATAGAAATTGCATGACAACATGTGTTTAAAAAATATTTCGATATATAATTTTAAGGAAAAAAAATGTATCTTATTATAAAATAAATTTAGATAGAGATGTCATTCTCATTTTTAATTACTTTTATCACTGAACCAAGGATATATTTAATAGAAATTGCGTGACAACATGTGTTTAAAAAATATTTCGATATATTGAAAAACAAAACAATTTATAATAAAGAAGATTATGAAACAGTAAGAGAAAGCTTTGAAAATAGGTCCAAGCAATATTACAGCACTTTGGGATCCTAAGCTGGTGGTGGAGTCAGTCGTACTCATATAAATCTTTCTACAGCTCACTCCATCCAAATTCCTATCTACTTAAGGGGTCGGGATATATTTTAAAAAATCAAAAACTGACACAAACTTTGGCTATTTTAAAAAAATACAAAAAAAACACAATAATTTAACTATATTTCTAATTAAGAAACGGGGATAAACATGTTATTCCAATAAATCCCCCAGAAAAAAATAATAATTTAAACTTTTCCGCGAGCGTTTCCAGTGTAGATATGAGTTCCGCGACGGTCAAAGGAAGCCACTATATTGAGATCTTGCTGATGAGTCTCTTCGTCTAGCGGCACGGTTATGTGTCTCTTGCTTTTCAAATTCAGCAGAACCGGGGGATGCTTAATGAGGCACACCAAAACTTGGGAGCTTAAAATGGCGAATAATAAAAGTATATGCTTTTACACCGCATTCGCAGTTAGAAAATGTCGTATTTCATGTATTCCGCCGCGAATTCGCGCTAACCGTGAACGCGGGTTTAGGAGGATCGAGCACTTTTTAAGCGTATTACCCCTTCGAGGGTGAGCCAATAGCTTTCGCTTCTTTAAAATGTAGCGGTTACTAAATTAAGCATTCAAATTAATATATTTACGTATAGTACCGCCATTACTATTTGTAAGTTATAGCTAGGTTATTTTTTCGGTTAACTTTTTCGCTAAATTTCGCCCTAAGCTTAAACTATGTATGTTCAAATATGTTACTCAGATTTTAAAGCTCTTATAAATATTATATCGCAGTTGCTAATCTTCAAACAAGCTAAATTACAGTTTTAAAAAAAAGTAGATTTAATTTATGATTAAATATATTAAGGTATATTTTATTCAAAAATGGTTATATAAAATTAACTATAATTGAAATATTATTTTAAAAAAGCAAATATAAGCTAAAATGGCCTCTATAAAGTTTTGACGCGAGATATTTTAAAATGTTTTTTTTAAACTAACTTTTACAGATTAGATAGATTTTATTATTTAAAAATAATTTATGTATTTAATATTGAATTAATTATAAAGAAAAATTTATTAATTTGCATTATTATAAATTTCATTAAATATATAATTTATAATATTTAATATGATTTAATAATAAATATGATTTAGGGTATCACAATATGAAAGATGATAATTTTGAATTGAAATAATATATAAACAAAATAATATAGACAATAAATATAAACTGATAAAAAAAATATACAAAGGAAGGGTTTTAGTGTACCATTCAAGCATTCGAATGTCAAAAAAACACATGATTAGTAGTATTATTATGAACATTTATACCAGATAAAGCTCTCCACAAATGATGATATAGCATTGGTCGAGGACAGATTTTTAAGATTGGCATATATCGCTTCGGCCAAAAGCACTTAGATCAACAGTAATGATATTTTTGATACCATACAAAATATAAAACAAATTTAGTTAGATGATGGACATAAAAGGTCACCAAGATAGTAATATATAAAAGAAAATAGGCTAAAATGTCAATCAATTTTTATGGAATATAAATATCCGTATTCCCAAACATTCGATAGGAACTATATACATTTTCTACTTAATAGGGGATTATTATCTCTCTTATTTTAAATCATCTAACATGATATATATTTGTTTTTCTCTTTTCCGAAAACTTTTCGTTCCATCATCTGACTTGCATCAATGTAAGATCCATATCCTGCTCTTTTTTTTATGAATATCAAATAAATTAATATTGGGAGTGAGGATAAGGAACGTATTCCTGTAAAAGCAGGATGAAAGCCTTCGACTTGGTTATTCGTCCTCACCCCTCTGACATCGAATGTGTTCCGCATTTCGTATTTGAACTTGGCATTACCGTTAATCCATGTATTGAAAAGATTGAGCTTGGGAGACTTAACTCAATCGTTATGGATCACATCCCTTTCTAATAAAAAAAATGGGATGGTCATTATAATTTGAAAAAAATTTGTATAAATATTAGGATTTCGCCTGTGCAGTTGGGTCAGCCGATATCTCTGAACGCGTCTTAGGATGCATCGACATGAATGGGAACAAAGCAACCCTTTACAATAATTCTCGGAAATATTTTCCTAAGGGGGCTTTAAAAATACGCCAAATTTCAAATCTATTGTTGTACATGGTGGCGATGATGAACAATCATTGAAGAATAGTTAATAATGATATTTATGGTATAAAATTGTTTAAATAGTTTAGGGGAGGCATTAAACGTGTGCCCATCTAGATATATTTTATCTGCCCCAACAAAAGGCGAGGTAAAAGAATTATTCATGGTGACTACAATGTTCGTGAAGCAATGCTTATATCGCCATCTGGGCGAGGTAAAGATAGCCGCGTTGACCGAATAACGCGTGACGTAATTGTTTTTACCTACAAAGAATGTCGGTAGCGTTTTAGGTTGTCGCATCGCCAAAGGAATCTAATTTCTTTTTCCGCACAACTTTTTTTTTAAAATATATATTTTATGTAAACCTAAATATTTACTTAATTTTGTTTGATTTTTTTTTAAGTTCATTTAACTGTAAAGTAAAAGTTCATAATACTCTTCATCATTTATCATGACTATGTTGCTTATTGATTGTAAAACGAGTGCCTAATAATACCCATTCCCTTTACAGCTTTGTAAAAGGATATTTATAATAAAATTCTATATTGCGAAGATATAAATATTTATTGGAAAAGATTAAATTGTTAATAAATTTAGATGTAATAAATGTATAGGTGGACTTTTTTTAAAAATAACATTTGAATTTCTTGATAATTAGTTTTGTTTAAAAAAATAATGAATATAAATTATAAGTAATAAATAATTATGTAAAGGTTGTCTAGAAATGTTGTATCTGTATTAGTAATGTTAGGGTCTTGATTAATAACTGTTTAAAAAAAATTTTTTTTTATAATTATTACTGCGTATAATTATATTATAGTTAAAGGAGTTTCATTTTCATTACCATGCAAGACATAGTTCTCATTTTGATCAACTTTGCTTTAAAGATAATTTGAAATATATAAATAATATACTATGGTAATCTGATTTGCTGCGAGACTATTAGGTTAATAGTCATGGTCTTGATTAATAGCTGTAATTTGTATTTTATAAATTAAATGTTTTATTTAAAATTTCATTACTAATAATATAACATATTTGTTTTGGTCTCTATGGCTAGTCTTGTTTTAGGATAATGAAAAAGGTTTTCTTTGACATTAATTTGTAACATAGATTCTTCCATCTGTCACAGTAACTCGATATTTTCAGGAAAACGAATTTTTTTATATTTCTATTTGTCATTAACTTTGTCTTGATATTTTGATATGAAATTTTTTGCTGGTTATTTTTCAATCATATCCTAAAACAAGGGTAGTGATGGAAACCAAAATAATATATTATATAGTAATGAAATTTAAATAAAGATTAATTTCATAAATTATTAATTATATCTATTAATAAAGACCATGATTATTTACCTAATAATCTTGCAACAAATTCAAGTACAATTATATTATATAATCTATATATGTATAATATAATTATCTTAAAAACAAATTTGATCAAAATGAAAACCATGTTTTACATAGTAATGAAAATGAAACTCCTTTAATTATAATATAATTCTACGTAGTAATGATTAAAAAAAAATTTTTAAGCAGTTATTAATCAAGACCCTGGCATTACTAATACTGATACAGCAATTCTAGGCAACCATAATATATTATTTATAATTTGTAATTCATTATTTTTTTTTAAACATAGCTAATTATCAAGAAATTAAAATTTTATTTTTTTAAAAAAAAAGTCCCCCTATACATTTATTACATCTAAATTTAATAACAATTTAATCTATTCCAATAAATATTTATATCTTCGCAATAGAGAATTTTATTATAAATGTCCTTTACAAAGCTGTAAGAGAAGTGTATATTAGGTAGGTACTCATTTTACTATGACTAAGCAACATAGTCATGATAAATGATGAAGAGTATTATGAACTTTTACTTTACAGTTAAATGAATTTTAAAAAAAAATCAAACAAAATTAAATAAATATTTAAGTTTACATAAAATATATAAAAAGGTTATGCGCGAAAGGAAATTATTCCCTTTGCGATGCGACATCCTGAAAACCTTATTACTTCAGTTATGGCATGGGTTATTCAATCAACGCGGCCATCTTTACCTCGCACAGATGTTGATATAGTCATTCCTCGATGAACATAAAAGATACCATGAATGATAATAATTTTTTTTAAATTTGTAAAATGATAGTAAATAAATTATTTAGTATTTTCCACTTCGTAATTCTTTTATCTAGCCTTTTGGGGCATACAAGATGACATACGTTTAATGCCTCCCCTAAACTATTTAAACAATTTTACAACCATAAATATTATTATAAATAATATTGTCTGTGCTTATATTTCTTTTCCCAAATAAATATAAAAATACATATATTCAAAATGCTTTGTTTATTTTAAAAAAATGATTGTTTATCATTAGGCTTAATTTTTTTTTTGGCCATGATGTGCAACAATAGATTTTAAAATTTGGCGTATTTTTTAGCCCTCATGGAAAATTTTTCCGAGAATTATTGTAAAGGGTTGCTATTTCCATTTCTGTCAACGCATCGTAAGACGCGTTCAGGAATATCGCCTGACCCAACTGCGCAAGCAAAATCCTAATATTTACAAAAAAATTTCGAATTATAATGGCCATCCCATTTTTTATTAGAAAGGGATGTGCCATCTATAACGATTGAGTTAAGTCGCCCAAGCTCAATCTTTTCTATGCATGGATTGACAGTAAAGCCAAGTTCAATTATGAAATGTGGAACACATTCGATGTTAGAGGGGTGGGGACAAATAACCGCTTCGAAGGCTTTCATCTTGCCTTTGTAGGAATATGTTCTTTATCCACACCCCCAACATTTATTCATTTATTTGATATCATAAATAAATATAGAGCAGGATATGGATCTTATATTGATGCAGTTAGATGATGAAACGAAAAGTTTCCAGAAAGAGAAAAACAAATATATATCATAGATGATTAAAAATAAGAGAGATAATAATCCTCTATTAGTGGAAATGCATATAGTTCCTATCGAATATTCGGGAAAAAGTATCCAGATATCTATATTCCATAAAAATTTATTGACATTTAGCCTATTTTTTTTATATATATTACTGTATCAGTGATCTTTTATGTCCATCATCTAACTTAATTTGTTTTATATATTTTGTATGGTATCAGTAAGAAAAAATATCATTACTATTGATCCAGGTTATTTTATTGTAGTTGCGTTTGGCCAAAGTTGTATATGCCAAAATAAATGTTGTGTTCCTCAACCCATGCTATATCATAACTTAAAAGTTCATAATATTACTAATCATATGTTTATTTTGACATTCGAATGCTTGAATGGTACACTAAAACCCTTCCTTTATATACTTTTTTTTAAATCAATTTATATAACTTATATTTATTGTTGTTATCTTTCATATTGTAAATTACCCTAAAACCTATCATAATCGTAAATATTGTTGTTGCGCGTACTATTATAACATTATTTTTTTTATTTAACCTGATATAATTTAATCCTTATAAAATACATTTATTATAATATTGCCTACAGAGTAAATAAAAAGTTGAATGTTATGTTGTTGTCAAAAAATGCACTTGAAAATAAACATAAATTTTCATAATGTATCTATATTTATATTGTATAAATCCATTAAGCTGAATTTTTTTTTATTAAAGTAGTTCCTAGTAAGAAAAGATATTAACATAGTCCATTTTAATCATTAGAAATCTCAATAACTAAAAATTTAAAATATATATAAGTAAATCCGATATTTATAGGAAATAATAAAGTTATAAATATCCATGATAAAAATTTTTATTAAAGGAGTTCCTAGTAAAATAAATGACTAGAAACCTCTAACAATAAAAATTATCTTATAATAAATAAGCATAAATATCCACAAATAATTTGATCTACCCCTTTACCCTTAAATTTATTTTTATTTCCCTACCCAGCTATAAGTCTAATGAAATAATATTCCGAAAACGATGAAAGAAAATGGCTCCTAGTCCTAACCATCCTTGGCTATTTTTTTTTATTATAAATATTAGAAGAAAAAAAATTAATCTATATTTTTATCATTGGAATAGATAGATTATATCATATATAAAATAAATTGTTTTAATATCATGTAATATAAATTATATTAAATATATATAATAAATTATATTAAATATTACAATTATACATTACTAAAATTTATATTAATACCATACATATATTTTTCTTTATATCACATTAATTTTATGTAAAAAATTAGAATTATATATTTACTAAAATTTATACTAATACAATATTGTTAATTTATATTAAAATTATATGAAATATTAGAATATATTTACTAAAATTTATATTAGCCATTGTGGTCCATCTCAACCTTCCTTCTTAGAAGTCTCTGAGCGAAAATTGTAGCGTGTAAATTCCAACACCACGCCCATCATTAAATCGCCATTTGCCGTGTATACGGTTTGTGCATCTCTGTTCCAACTTGTCTTACTATCGGACCTCGTTCCTCACATCGTTAGTCATTTCGCAGTAGTCTGACCACTACTTCCCCCTGAGCTTTTTAATCAATTCCTCGATTTAGTTGGGCCCTTCAATCTCCCTAATTTCTATCTTTACAATTTTGTTTACCCTCAGGATTTATAAAGCCATCTAGAAATACAATTACTGCCACCATCACGTTCTCCATCATTACTCCTTGGGGAATAAATTTCATTTTTTCTGTAATCGCCTTTTAGGGTGATAAAATGATAGAGGTAAAGGAGAGGATAGGAAGAGATAGTGTGATTATATTTCTTAAATTGTATCTTTTGATGGCGTTTTATTTCCGATTGGGCGGCAAAAACAAAAGAGATAGAAATTAGGGAGATAGATAGGCTTCAACTCAATAGAGGAATCGAGTAAACGCGGCAAGAGAAGGAAGCCGTCAGACTCTAAAGGCGAGATGATTTAATGATGAAAGTTACTAGGTCCGATATTAGAGAGGAGGTACGTGTTGACCATGTAATGTATACCACAACAAATGGCGTTTTAGGCGTAGGGTAAGAACTCCTATTTTGCCAGGAGACATCCCTCACCATAGCATTGGAGGTTGGCCAATGTGGGCTAGTAGCAAAGAAACTAGACCGGATTTGAATAGGTTTTCTTTCTTTAAAAATTTTAAGGAACCTCAGACAAATAAACTTTATCAACAATATTAATCAAATAAATATAATAATTTTAAAAAAATATAAAAAAAAATAATGATTTAAACTCGTTCCTAGGGTTGAATTGAACTTTAGCTATAAGGGCAGGAAATCTGAATCTGTTGAGGCATTCCCCGCTTAGAATGTCCCAAATACAAACCAAGTTGTCGGTTCCAGCTGATAAAAGTTTGTAGCCATTCCGACTCCAGCTAAAATTATTGCAATTTTTTTAAAAAAAAATCTATGTATACTGTTTAATAAACGTATTCTGATGAGAGTAAAAGTTCTAATAAATAATATAGATGTTAGTGTTGTATTTACGGCTTCGATTTGTGCCGATCAGAGTTGTTAAAAGATACTTCTTAAATGGATCTAGATACAGATACATCGTCTAAAATAATATCTAGATAGAGATACCACATTTTTATATCTAGATACTTGTATCTAGATCCTTTAACAACTCTGGTGCCGATTTTTAAAATAAGTGCCTAAGCCTCGAGATTTCGCCAATAGATGTTCAACAAACTTTTTAGGGGGTCATTTATGAACAAAATCTTCGCGCTTGCTAAATATTTTCTTCCTGGATAAAATACTAAGTTAGCTGTATTTTTGAACATGAGCTCAAGACGAGCCGTTTAAACTACACTGAGGAACTGATTTTTTTTGCGCTTGCTAAATATTTTCTTCCTGGATAAAATACTGAGTTAGCCGTATTTTTGAAAATGAGCTCAAGACGAGCCGTTAAAAACTACACTGAGGAACTGATTTTTTTTTGAAAAAAAATTATTCAGAAAACTGAACACCTATTCAGGCCATGATGACAATTCCATAAAAGAATCTTAGGCCTGGTAATTCGTGTGATTCTTCCCTTAATAATTTTATTGCACTCCTTTGATCCTGCTTTTTTATTCGTGTGCTAGTCAGATATTTTAATTATTTTTAATTTACATTTAAATAATTCAAAAAAATTTTAAAATTATTTATCCTGCGAATATCTCAGGGGGGAATGAGGTTTACAAAGTTATATAACCGAATTTTATGATATATTATACTCGAGAATATTTTTAAGCAAAAAAAAAATGAATTTTATCATATTAAATCTTTTATATAGAGCACCATCTATTATTTTAAAAGTATAAAATCGTAATAATTTTTAAAATAAATATCCAGCCATGCTAATTGTTGAAGATATTAATAAAAAAAAATAGTAAACGAATAAATTTAAAATTGAAGATCATATTCATTTCGAAATATTAATTCCAAATTTTCAACTGACCATAAGATGACCCATATTTTAAAAAAAATTAATATTGATCTTTTCGCCATAATGATCAATTATTGACTTGACTATTGATATTAGATTCAATATTTGATCATATTTAGTTTTAACTTAAAAATTAATTATTTAACATCAGTAAAAAGCAGAAAAAGAGATTTTTTGGACCTTTAACCCCGATTATCTTCGCTAATATGGTTGCCAATGCCCTAAAATTTTGTTTATGATCTAATGTGAACATATATAACCAGTCTACAACTTTTTATCGAAATTGAAAGGGGTCAAGACAAAAATCTTGATTTTCTTGCTCATTTGACATGGAATGACCCTGTTAGATATAAGTGTTAGGGTTAATTAATTAAAGGTTTGAGATAGGGTAAAGGAGGCTATGATATATTAAATGGTTTTTAATAAAATTTAATCAGTTTTATTGGTAACCTGTAAAATATGACAAGTCAAGTGGTGGTAAATATCTTAATATAAATTTAAATAAATCAGCTGTTTTATAGACATTTTCCTTGAATTGGAAGGTAAGAGACCTAAATAGCGAGCATCAATATAGCGAAAAATGTGAATATTCACAATAATGTTCACAAAAATGGCCGATATATTTTTGATATGGTTCCACCTCTAAATAGCGAGGTATTAAATGAATGATAGTCTAAAAAAGGCTAACATATAATATACAAATAATTTTATAAATTATTAAAATGTAAATAATTTTATAAATATATAAATAATTTTATTATTATATAATTATAATATTACAACTATTTTTTTATCTTGATATTATTATAGTATTTTATAAATTATATAATTTGTTTTAAATTATAAATGTACACATAAATATAATTTATATATTTGGGTTATTATATTACAACTTTATTTAAAACATTTCTAAATTATATTAAGGGAGTGGTGGAGGGTACCATTTAATGATCATAATTAAGGAGAATACTAATAAGAAGCAGTAGCTACATGCCGGGTGGGGGGGGGCAGCGTCTGCATGTCAGAATTTTCATTGGATGCATATCCCCTCAAAGAAACTATGTCTAACCCCCGCCCCCCCCCCATTTTTGCCACCATTATTAATCACATCTTTTTAATTATAATAAACTTTCTATCAAAATATTGTGGATATAAAAGTGTTATTTTTCAATCATGAATTCAATTAAAAGCCTCCACAATTCTTTTTGGCATGTGTATGAGTTTGCCGAGAATGTCTAAACCTTTTAAATGTAGCAGAAAGTTATTTGGAAGATAACATTTGTTTGTTTGCAATGTACAGATTTGGTCGATCATCAGTAATATATTTTTTCCTATTTTATCTAAAAATTAATAAATAATTTCCAAATAAATTTATCCTACCCAGGGGCCTACCCCTTACCCTCCTCAAAATATTGGATGTGAACTGTTACCACCCCTCCCCATTCACGTAGACGCTGGGGGGGGGGGGGTAAATGTTTTAATATAGCCTTTAAGGATAGTAAGTAAAAAATAATTTAGGGTTGAGGTAGGAGGGAATTTTTTTCTCTTATGGACATAAAAGGAGCAAATCCTAATTTATTAGAAAAATTAAAACTAATTAAACTACAATTTTTTTCATATCAAAAATAAATCGAATATTATAAGTTATGTATTAAATATTTTCATAGCCTGTTATACAATCTCCTCTCAAGATTTCCCTAATTTTTAGCTATGGCTACTCTATATAAATGGCGGCGCTAGCTACTAGTGCGATACTTTAAACAGCATAGCTTATGGTAAATAGCTATAAAAGTGACGAAACTCGTGAAACAATTTTAAAACATTTATCTCTTACTTGATTAATTAAAATTAAATCAGAATCTTCAGGAACATGTTCTTCTTTGCAAGTTGTGTAAATATCAGCTAACGAAACCCAATAGCGCGTATCAATAGCGATAAATTAAATGAATGTTGATAAATAATTACATCTTTTTACCCATTTTAAATAATATTATTTAAAATATTAACAAAGTAAAATAATTTATATATATATTAATATTATAATATTTTATAAATTATAAATTATAATATATAAATCTTTTTAGTATAAAACTATTATTTTTCAATAATATTACACATATAATTTTTATATATTAATATTAGTTATAATAAAATTATATAATATATAAAATTTATATTTAAACTTCAGAGTTTAATTCTTTTGAAAATTATAAAAATATAAATCTCGAAAAGGTCATACGATTATTATAATTTATATATATATCATAAATTATTTTAATTGGTAAATATTTTAATTTTGTAATTTATTATAATAATTATTTAAATTTATTATAATTTTTATTTAAATTTGCTATAAATATTATTTTAGCTAATATTAAAATATTATTTTTTAACATCTATAACATTCTTCTCTCTAAGAAATCCATTATTTTTGTTGTTCGCGATCATCGAATATCTTATTGCAAATTCCTTCAACTATCCTGTAGGGATATGGAGTAAAACATATTTTTAAGGTGGGAGATAGGGAGTATTTTTTTTCTCTCATTAAGACGCGGATAAGAAGCAAATTATAGTTTATTAAAAACTGAAAACTAAGTAAACTAAAATGTTTCCCTCTCAAAAATATATATAAATTATATTTAAAATTAAATATAAAAATAAATAGAATATCATTAGCTATGTATAAAATCACTTATTTTTTTAATTTAATTCTTATGTATAATAAATTAAGAGTAGAATTTTTACTTAATTTTAAAAACATATATACACCACTTTAACGTGTATTATTTTTAGGTTAATAATATAAACAACTACTTTATTACTGAAGTATATAATATGCGCGAAAATTATATTTGTAAATTTATACTTTATATTAACATAATATAAAACAAAAGAAAGATTGCAATTTAATTAAATTAGATATATTATCTAAAAAAACATATACATCCATATTTAGATGATAAAGGGAAGTAAGATTTTGTATTAAAATATTTAATTGAATATATTTGCGATTTTTTCGATTAACATTCAACCCGCTATTATTCTGAATTAATTTAATCTCAGAAGCGTGTTGATGTCTTTTTAAAATGTTAATTAAAGAATAAATGTTAGGATGGGCACATAACGTTTTTATTTTGATGCCATGATGATAGCTCTCTAAATGGTTATTTGTCCTAGGACCATTGACTTGATATCTAAATTATAAATTTATTTTGTATATATACATTAATTTTTTAAATACCTAGTCCATATGCTATGGGGAAATAAAGCATTAATGGAAAGCCATGTCAGATCCATATATTGCATAAAATTTAATAGCAGAGGATTTTCAACTGGCATGGCAAGACACGATGATCGTACTCGGGAGATACTCTCGGCAAAAGGGTAAGGTAGTCATACGTCTGACTACTTTGTGAACAGTAGAATTGTCCCTATACTCTACTGTTAAGCCTAATGCCTGACATTTTCGCCATATGGCTTGCGAAAAATGGAAGAAACAGCTTATAAAAACTTATAATCAATTTACGTAATAAATTAACCTTTAATCACCATAGTAGGAAAAACAAATCCTAGAGCTGATATTGCAGCCGCCTCAAAATCAGTCTACCCGTATCTAGGATTAAATATGATATTATTCTCGGCGCAGCACCTTAGAATAATTTGAAATAAATCTATATAGGTGGCTCTTGTTTTGTCGGGAAGGAGGGCATATACAATAGGTATCATTGTCTCCTGAGACAAGACGTGAATTGTATACAACTGGTAATATAGTCGTGGTACAACGTAAAATGTACCATCCATATATATTGTATCATTATCACACGTTTCTATGAGATTTAACATGCTACATGTCCCAAATAACAATAGTTTATTATTATTATCATCATCATTATTAATTAAAAATATATCACCCCTATTTGTGGTGATATATTCCGACAATAAAAC